TCTGCTGGAACACAGGACTGAAGCCTACACGCTTCCCTTGAAGATCTCCCCTTCGCAACATCACACTGCTGCTCAGAAAGGGGGCAACTGCTTCCCTAAGCCTGAATGCTCCTCTGTAGAAAACTGTATCAGGGGCTGGCTGGTGGCCTAGTAGTTAAGATCACGTGCTCTGCTTCTGCGGCCTAGGGTTCGCCGGCTCAGATCCCGGTGAGGACCTAGGCACCGCTCATCAAGCCATGCTGGGCAGGCGTCCCACATGTAAAGTAGAGGAAGATGGGCACAGCTGTTAGCTCAGGGCCAGTCTTCCTCAGCAAAACAAACAAACAAAAAAACTGTCACATGAAAATCCAGCTGCAATTCAGGAATTGGTAGTCATTGATGCTACGCTCACCAACAACCCTTAACTTCACTGACCACACCTGTGTTTTGAAACCCAAGCTAAGCACACAGTGAGACAAAGCTAGGTATTTTTCATATACCGCGGAATTTTCTTCTTTTCCTACTCATGAGATTTTACTGAACACTATTCTCTGGAGCCTCCTGATCATGTTCAAATCACGGCTCCGCCACTAACTACAGGTGGAACCCGAAGCAACTAAATTTTAGGAGATTAGTTTTTCATAAAAAATACAGGGATGGATGACAGAGAATTGAAATATATTGATAACTGTCACACTCACTGACAGGCCACGGGGATTCACGTATCCTTCCACTTAGGCATACATTTGAAAATCTTCACAATTAAAGGTTAAAAGAAAAGTTTTTGAGCCACACAGCCCAAAAATGGGCATGATAAGATGTGAAATCATGGTCTCGCCGGTAAGTTACAGAACAGACAAGCAGAAGCCCACACTAACCCAGTTTGCATTTTTGTAAATGTTGTGCTAAACCAACCTACAACGTGGAAAGGACTGGATAAGACCGTGCACGAGCCACTGCGCTCTGTGGCCCAGGTCACTGCCCAGGTTTCCAAGGTCAGGAGCCTTGAGCCCCCATCTGGCCCCACCTGTGCTTCAATCTTTATTCAGCAGGATTGATAGAATGGCCACTCATTCGATTCTCTCAGATGCTCTGAAATAGGTCAAACTTCAAGCCACTGAGCAAATAAACCCGGGCCACAAAGCCTCAGAAAGTGGCCTCAGACAACGCCTTGCTTGGCTCCACAGCCAAACAAAGTGCGACATTGTGGCCTCTGTACAAACACAGTAGCCGGACCTCCCAGGCCCAGTGTTTACACAGAACCTTCTCCTCCAGAAGCTCAAAGTAATTTAGGGACACTCACTAATTAATTAAGTCTCGAGCCTCCTTCCTACCCCGGCTCCTTGCTGCCTGTTCGGCAGCACCGCTGGGGGAGGGAGAGGCAGGGTTCCACCCGCTCACAAACACATGTGCAAACGCAGGGACGCTCGTGGGCTGCCCTTTGGTGGGGGGGGGGGCGGGTTTCGGAGAACACTGAACTTTGTAGCATCAGTGATCGCTCTGACAACGAATAAAATCCATGAACAACTGGCACATGTCCCTTCATCTGGTCCACACTAGGTCTCAAAGAGACAAAGAGAAAGACAGCAAGTACTTTTCATCCCAATGTGCAAAGAAAACATCTGTATGCTAATTCTGGATTGTGGACCAAGGGGCATTGTTCCATGCGATGGCTTTTCACCTCTACTTGAGAAGCCTCCTACCGTTGAATCAGGTCATCAAGAAAACTTTATAAAAACCTTTGAAATGGGTGCCAGTGTTTGTTTTTCTGCCTCTGGAATTCCTGTTTCCACTGACCCACATTAAAGATAGATTCTCAACCTAATTCTCTTAGAAGCAGGAATCTGGAAGTCTTGCTAAAAGGCTGGATGGCCTGGTGTGGAGGCTGGCTACTAAGTCCTGTTGGAACAGAAGGACTGTACCCAGCAATTGACCGACAAGGATCATCAGCTTTTCCTAAACCCAATTCAAGCCCCTGACTGTCTGTGAGCACAGCCTGAAAACGCTAAGCAATTGTGAGCCCCTGCCAGCGAGGCCTTTCCAAGTTAGGATCCTTATGGGGCAAAATGTGCCTTCAAGAGCTGTGCGTACGCACGTAGGACCCACCTAACTCTCCTGCCGCTCCACGTAAAAGCCGCAGCGTGCATCTGCCACAGAGCTGGGCAGAATGTAGGACCACTCAGTGGCCGAGGAGAAACCACGACCTGCAGGGGAATAAACCCTCAACTTAAGTCTCCTTGGCTTCTCATTCCTCACTGGGGAGGAATCCACCACAGGAAACCACAGCTGAAGTGAAAAGGATGTCGCCCCCAACCTTGAACCTCATGGAAAGGGTGAACGGTCAGGATTCTGCCACCAGCCATGCCGGCTGCCACAGGAGTACTGTCCCACCCTAAAGTAGAGACTGCAACCTTCTGGAAAAAAATGAAAGCACTCTTAACCCTGTCAAGGAAAGAAAAGCAAAAGAGCTAGCCCTTTGGAACACAGATGGGAATTTCAAGGTCAGAGCCATTCATCCAGTGGTGACATGTTGAGGATATTTTAAAAGTTTGAGACAACAACTTTCTAGTAACAGAAGGCCCTTACAATCCTTCTCTGGATCAGCGATACCACCAAATGCTACAGCTGCTTTTTAAAAATAGATTCATTCCAGGGCTGGCCCAGTGGCACAGTGGTTAAGCTCAGGCACTCTGCTTCAACGGCCCGGGGCTCGCAGGTTCAGATCCCAGGAGTGGTCCTATACACCACTCATCAAGCCATGCTGTGGCGTTGTCCCACGTACAAAATAGAGGAAAGACTGGCACAGATGTTAGCTCAGGGACAATCTTCCTCAAGCAAAAAAAATCTTTAAAATTTTTTTAAAAATTAAAAAAAAAAATAGATTCATTTCATTTCATTTGAGAAAAACGGACTTTAAAAATTAAGTATTCAGGGGCCAGCCCTGTGGCCTAGTGGTTAAGTTTGGCCATGCTCCACTTCAGTGGCCTGGGTTCAGTTCCTGGGCGCGGGCCTACACTACTCATGGCGGCCACGCTCTGGTGGCAACCCACATACAAAATAGAGGAAGATTGGCACAGATGTTAGCTCAGGGCAAATCTTCCTCAGCAAAAAAAAAAAAAAAAAAAAAAAATTAAGTATTCAACCCAAGGTTTACTGAAAAATGAACACTAGGTTAAGTAACAAATGTGGACTGCACATGAGTTGAAGACCTGCCAATTTCTTTCATTACACCGTCTGTTCTAGTATCCAGTGTACTGTAATCACCAAAATAATGTGTGTGCATCTCAGCCCAAACTTAATTTCCTAATGGAAAATATGCATTCTATTACTTTCATTAATCACTTTTAAATCTTCGCTTTTGAAAAAATAAAGCCTTTTTCTCCAGGTGGCTTCAAAGGAACTCTGAAATGTGTATGAACCCTGCTTAAGGTTGCTATAATCCATCTGAAGGACGTTTTCATCTCTCTGATGAAGCAGTAGTTTTATACCATGAAATTAACTTCTTGGTTCTGATAAATGTGGTATGAAGTAGACATCTAAAATAGAATGGAAATTTCTGCAGTTTTCTTTCAAGACCTTAGCAAATGACCAAAGTTGGACTTTTCAGGACAGAACACAAATTGGAATAATCTGATAATAATTTAAGCCATGATTCGATGCACACTTGTGGTGCTCAGAATACTGGAAACATTGTTTCAGTAACCAAGTGACTGAAAACAAACCAGATAACTATATGCTAATGAAATGATTAGGGAAGTGGAAATAAAAGAAATTGTCCTTCCAAGACATAGATCAGAATCGAAGAATCGATGCATACGAACAGGAAGAAAGGACTAGAGACATTTATAAAGTATTGTGGGAGTGAGTGCTCTAGTCGTCCACCACCTAGAGGACAGGGGACCGACCCCCCTCTGCGCTTTGTTTAGCTACAAACAAGGGAAGATGGGACCGCGGGACACCAGTTGTAAGCCTAGCTTCCAGTGCCCAAGTTTAAAGTTCTAACAACCCTACCTGGTTTTGCTCACTTCGGTGTTACCTAAGCCTTCCTCGTAAAATATTAGTCACAAAACAAGGGGCAGAGTGGTTGGTGACTCCAGGAAGCCATGCATTATATGACATGACAGAAACAGCCACACAGGAGTCAGGTAGAGCTGGGTCACCTTGGGTAAGCAGATTTCTTAGCCTCTACAATCTACTCATCTGTCATATGAGGATAATAAAAGCTCTTTTTTAGAATTGTAAAAATTAAAAGAGATTGTCTCTAAAGTCTTTGGCACAATGCCAAATGTGCCAAATGTCTGGAGACTTCCCGAAGCCCATATGGGAAATAGACTGGCTTGGTATCTCGCTTCGACCACAAAGGGAGTCAAAAGGGAGAGTCATCCGGTAGGTTATTTGCCTCCAAGTTCTAGACTCTGCAGTACTAACGCTAATCAGCCAAGTATTTACAAGCGCAGAGGTGCCATCAGCGGTTTCTCCGGAGACTATTTCATGGTGCTTTTCTCCCCGTCCCCTCCGGGAGTGAAGCCAGCCGACACAACCAACGGGCAATCACTGGCTTCATCAACGGGTGCGAAAGGAAACGGGCGCCAGGCACATGGTCGGGCCGGCTCCTAAGCCAACCCCCTCGGATCGTCGCGAATCTGTAACGTGTGCCGGCGGAGCGCGGGGCATGAAAGGCCAGAGCCGGCTCTCCACGGACAGACCCCTCGGCGAACGCGCAGATGGGAGACCCCCGAGGAGGGGCTGCGGGCCGCCGTGCGCACTGGGCCCGGCCAGAAGTGCTCTCTGGCGTCGCCGGCGTCACTTCATTCAAACAAGCCACCCCCCATTCCTCCATCTCCCCGCGCACGACCCCCACGCCCCGGCTGTCCCCGCGCCGCTGGGGACCGGTCACCTCGGGGAAGGGAGGTGCCCATTTTTCTAAGTCTCAGCAGAGGCAGTCGCTCCGTCCTCTGGGCGTCCCTCCCCGCGGGCAGGAGACGAGGGCGCCCCGGGCCCCCGGGCGGCGCCGCACTCACCGAGCGTGGCCACGGTGCCGGCCTCGAAGAGCAGGCAGTCCCCGCGGCCGCGCGCCTCCAGCAGGACGCTGCTGTCCCCCGCCGCCTCCAGCCGCCCGAGCAGCCGCAGCCCCTTGCTCAGAGCCATGGGCGCGGGCCGCCTCCGCCCGAGGGCGCACAGCCCGCCACGGCTCCGCGCGCGCCGCTCCCGCAACTTCCAGGACTTTCACTTTGGCCCCCGCTCCGGGCGGGCGCAGGCTCCTCCCCGGCCGCCTCCCCGCCCTCGCCGCGCC